CCCCCCCCCCCCCAAACATCATGAGATTTACTGTGAAAAGCCCTTTGAGAGCTTGAGATGAATAAACATCTGTGTGGAAGACACAAGTTATTGACTCCAGGCTCTCCACTTCCCCCTCAAATAATTAATGTTGAAATGTTTTCAATACATATTTTATTTTGTCCCCATTCCAAAGAGCAGGGTCAGAGTCCCAAGCCTGTTTCAAAGGACATTGGAATATGAAGAAACATATTCACTGGTTTTGTGTGTAAGGCAAAGCTCCCACATTTTCCCAGCACAGGCTTCCTCTGCAACTTTATCCGATGGACCAACGTGCAGATACCCTGCCCCGTCTGCATTCACTGAAGCTGGTGTCCTTGGGACACAAGTCAGCGCTGAGGATAAAATAGATCTTGGGCCACATTTTAGAAATGAAGGAAACCCTCCTTCATCCCCAGCAATCAAAGTCCTTTTAGAAATGAGCACCGTCAGGTACATCAAATATCAGGGACTTCAGTCCCCTGCTTGAGACTCAAGGTTGTTTTCTCCTTCGATCAATGTTATTGGCACTCTGGATTTTGCTCCTTGCTTCTTCATTAGTTGCTGGGTGTTTAATTGAGGGGGAAAATTAACTGTAATACAAGATTTCTGACTGGGGGAAATCTTTGGAAAGAAAGCATTTGGGCACAGGCTTTTCATAATGCAGCATTTGAAATCTTATCATAAGCCTCTCTTGCTGGGATAGAGCCATAACCATTTTACCTTGAATTTCTGGATACATGGCCATGTACAGTAGGCCCCAGCGGATGGTTGTGGAGGTCGTCTCAGTTCCAGTAAAAAAAAGGTCCAGTGTAGAAAATAAAAGATTATTTTCATGGAAAGATGAACTGGCTTCATTCTGAAAAGAAACACTCCAGTTCTACTCATGTCCATATAAATAATATTAACATGATTCAAAGCCCTGTTCCAGGCTCAGGCTTGCAAGGTGCTGTGCGCCATCAGTGCCCATCAACTTCAGTGCAAGCTGGCAGCCCCCAGCACTGCCAAGCATAGGGCTTACGGCAGAAAAGACTGCTGTGTTTTGAGAAGGACGTTTGTGCTGCTGTGAGAGCTGATGCTCAAGTCACGATACCTGCTGGTCACAGCTGGTTTTGGTTCTGGACCCAGAGCCCAGTTAACACTTTTTAATACATTTTTAGGCCTCAGCTCATCTCCATGCTCAAACACATGCTTCTCTTTAAGCATGGGAGTTACGGGCTGCCAACAGGGCTCCATTCACCCTCCAAGTAAAAGCACGTGCTTAAGTGCTTTGCTGAAAGCACTTAAGTGGAGAATTCAAGTGTTAGTTTATAAGGGGTCAGAGTCTCATGATACAACTGAATTGGCAAGTTCTGGATTCATTCTCGTTCACCTTTCTTTTACACACAAAAAAACAGGGTGTTTTTTTTCAGTCCCCCGCCTGTAATTTTGATATCTGATTGGAGCAGGGTTTTCTTTTCCATTCTCTCTTACCTTTGCAATTTCCTTCAGCTAGCAGTCAATGAAGTCCCTGGTGTCCACCGGATCCCAGTCCTCCCTGTGCTTTGCAATCTCTTCTTTCACAAAACATTTCAGTTTTCCCCCGTTTTTAAAAAGGGGGTGATGGTGTCCTGGGAGCCACTTCATTATGGTGGGAAAGGAATTATACAGCTGTGGGCAGAGAGAGAGAGCAAAGAACATGACGAGTTTAAGAGAAGATATGCATTTGATTTATATCCTGTCCGAGGCTCAGAGAACCTTATTTTATAGTGACATAAACCCACCGCTTTGCTTCATTAACATTTGTCATTTCTCAGTTTAGAATAGGTTATTACAGTTTAATATCCCTGCCTACATATGCCTGAAGCAAAGCCTTCGCGTTTTGTAGACAGAACCAGGACAGAGAAGGGCCAGTGCTGGACCCCAGGGCCAGTCGCACCTTTATAGCTAGAGAGCAAAGTAAAAGAGTCGTGATCACGATGCAGGATCCCACACTGACAGCATGGCACAAGACTGCATTGTCCCCGCTGAGGCTGCTGTACTTTTGGTGTCTGATTGGGAGAGGCAGACAATATAATATGCAACCGCAGGCTGCCTACAGGTACACTTCTAACAAGAGCCTGGGCAGCTGAAGGAAGTGTCACAGTTCACATGGGGCATCTGCACAACCCCACACTAACCACTAGCTTCTCTTTTCTCTCCCAGCAACAGGACACTATAGGCAGCATCAATGCTGGGATGACTGGAAACTGGCCTCCCTGCTGCATGGGGTGGATCAGTTGGAGTCAAGCACAGGCTGGCAATTCAGCCACAGGTGAAGGAAGAGAGGTTACCGTCTGCAGATGAGGGTGACTTATCCCAAATATAAAACTGGAGGCCAGCTAGAATCCCCTGGGGGAGAAGGGGGACAAAGCGGGGTCTTGAGAACACAGAAAAGTACTGAGGGGAAAGAGCATCTGAACACCTCAATCTGGCCAAAGGAACAAGAACAGTGCGGACCTACTCAAGTCTGCCTCCACTATAACCATCACAGGAAGTGGTAGGGTTGATTTCAGTTGATTTGATGGACTTGCTTTCCAAGTTATACCTGGGTCCAAACAGTGCCATGGAGATACAGCGTCTCACCCACCAACTGCAGCAACTTCTGGAACTTTTATTAGACCAACATAGTTGGAAAAATTCTTCTTTGCAAGCTTCGGCTACAAACACCCTTCTTCAGGCGGAGGGAGCAACACTGTGAGACACTTCCTCTGCTTGAGGAAGGGTGTTTAGACCCGAAAGCTTGCCAAGAAGACTTTTTCCAACTATTTTAGTTGGTCTAATAAAAGATATCAGATTTACCCAAAGAACTTTGTCAGCCTATGTCCTTAGACCAACACAGCTACAACCAGCACCCCTGTCCTAAAGAGTAACTCACCCAAGCTACCACGGACCTCCAGCATAATGGGGATCAGGGGACGATCTGCAAAGTTTTCATGCTGATGAACAAGTGTTTCCTTTGCCAGCTCCAACCCCTTCACAATCACAAGCGTCTCATAACCAAGCTGCAGGCTGAAAATGTTGCCATATTTTTCAGCAAGCTGGAAAAAAAAAAGATTATGTGATATTCTTCCTAGTGAACTTGTTTCTTAATGAGCATTTGGGATGTTAACAAAGTGTCTTCCTCCCCCCCCAAAAAATAAATCAGTATTAATTATATTTACTGCAATAGCACTGAAGGACTGTGCTATTTGAAAACTGCCTGTTTGCCCTCCAGCACTCACAAGATTTCATGGGTATTTGAAGGGTACAAACAGAGTTTGGTAACAGTTCAACAAGCATATTAAACTTCTGTGATCACATTGGGTCTTTTCCGAAAGGAAAAGAAAATCAGAGTAAAATGGCCCAAATACTGACTAGTATTTATGGACAATCAGATGCATTTAAGAGGACCAGACTCCTTTCTGCCTGATAGCACTGCTAACTGGAACATGTTTCTCTTCAAAACTACTTCCTCTGGTGAAGCAATCAAATATTCTAGTTTAAACAGGGCATGCTCCTAGTGTGCCAGACACACTGGTATCTTCAGATTCACATTTTGCAGACAGTAAACTGTTCAGCTCCTCCATGACCAGGACTAAAAGCTGTGTGTAGCAGAGCACTAGGGTGCTCGCTACTAGTGATGATAATGAGGACAGCTGCCAGTCATCAGGGCAGCACAGGTGAGGGATGCTGGGGACACCAATATTGGTCAGCTGGCCAGAAGGGGGCAGGGCCTTGGCCTTTATAAGCAGCCAGGCTGAGGCTAGAGCTAGTTCCCCTCTGGCAGCCAAAGGAGTAACAGCTCTACTGTAGAGCAAAGCAGAGTAAACCAGCCTGTTTGCCCGGAGAATGGAGAGGAGAGGCCCCTGTGGAGATGAGGAGTAGCGAGGGCAGCGTGGAGCGTATGGTGTAGCCAGTTGGCTCGTAGCTTGTGTTTGGTTTATGTAAGACCAGCCAGTAGGCTTATTTGTGTTGTAGCCGGTTGGCTTATGGCTTTACATTTCTTGGTTTTGGGTCGTTGTTACCACTGGACGACCGGGTAAGGCTGAAGAGGTGCGAGTAGGCCTCATGGGAGCTCCCCAGTAGTCTGGGGGTTCCTGGGTGCCCTGTATGGGCACAGCAAGCAGTGCCTGGGAGGCACAGCTGTTTGGTGCCAGTGTGGCGCTGCGTGTGGGGGGTTAAGACCCCAGCCCGGGAGGGCGGTATTTTGCCCACTAGGGCATAGGACCCCGAGAAGGGTCAGGGGGCCAGGCATGGCTACGGGCCACCTGAGCCCCGGGCGCGAGAAGCGTGGGACAGGCCCAGAGAGGGCGACGAGCGCAGGAAGCACGAATGAAGCCCCAGTGAGAGCAGGACCGTGAGAAGCCCAAGCAGGGCATACGACCCAGAAGACGGGTCAGGGGCCAGGCATGGCTACAGGCCACCTGAGCCCCAACCGCGGGAAGCGCGGGCGACGAAACCCCAGGGGGGTGACCAACCGCGGGAAGCGCGGGCGACGAAACCCCAGGGGGGTGACCAACCGCGGGAAGCGCGGGCGACGAAACCCCGGTGTGGGTGAGAGTGCGTGAGCAGGGAGACAGGCCCAATGGAGCGCTCCCTCTACATAAGAAGCCCAGTAGGGGGCAAAGCTATTGAGAGGCCCAGCAGGGCAAACCTATTGGGCGTTAGCCAGGACACCGGTTGAGTGACAAGGCCAGAGTGCCTACAGGAGGCGCCAGCTGTGTGGCAAGTCCAAGGCCAGAGTGCCTACGGGAGGCGCCAGCTGCATGGCAAGCC